ATTTTTTGTTGGGGAAGCCAAGGAGCTTCTGTTTTTACCCTTAACATAGCACTAAATATCGTGAACATAAAGCTAGGAGAATTATTACAAAGCAAAACAAAAAAGACATGACATAGTCAGTTGTCTTATATACAGTCAAGTTGTCTCCGTGTTGACTTAATCAGTGGGTCATATACCCCCATCAGTCATACAGCTTCATTCTTTACTATAAACGGTAGTAACTTGTAGGGACAAACATAATAAATTKAATAATCTAAAATCTGTCTTCTTTTGTGTACTCAAATAATGATCTTTTCTAAAAAAGGCTTTTTATGCAATTYCAGAATATTTGCTTTATAGCATWGGCTTGAAATTTTAGACTTTTTAGTTKATGACCGCTCCGCYGTTCTGAAATAGYTCTGCTTTTGATTTTACAACCCACTGCAAGCCGTCAAAATATTCCCCACTATTTACTTCACGTACTACTTACTACCAATATAAAACTTACTTGCTGATTAGGTTCATTTTGTATCCATAACAACGTTCATACAAGCGAAACATGTATTAGTACGATACATTCAGAGGCTTCTTTTTCATCAAATATCTAATACCGGCCTGAAATTACAAAAATAAATAAATAAATAAATAAATAATGGTTGCTAATAACTGCATCGTATAATACGTATTTGGTAATCATGGCAACGATCGATCATATCTGATTACTTTGTCCAATCTGCAGCGATTCAGACTATCGAAACCAGTTCTCCTCAGCTATAAAGACAAACGCACGCGGTTTTTCCATTTTCGTACTTAGACCCTATTAATTATGAACGCGGAAACGGAAAGTGCATGCGGAAAGTGCGGAAACATATATTGAAACATCCGCGTCACTCGTATGGATGAAACTCCTGCTTTTGATAAGTTGACTTTGCATTGGACTACCTATAATAGATTGGTTAAGAACTGAAAGGGTCAAAAGGTCGCTAATGATACAGCAGAATGAAAAGCCGTTTTAATACTGATATGAAACTCACAACTAAGATCGCGAAGAAATTAGTATAAGGAAAAGAAAACTATCTTAAAGCACAGATTTATTGGTTCAAACTATCGGAGAAATACAATCATGTCTTGAAACGATAACAAGCTGGATAACTCTACATCTTTGGCAAAATTAAATTGTTTTAAAGCAAAAGTTAGTCATTTGAAGCCAATGGCATTGATGGTTTTGTAAGCACGTTTACGTTTTACATGCGATTACAAAGTTGATTATTGCGGGAAATCTGAAATTAGTGCTTTTCCGAACTTTCCGCACTTTACGTTTCCGCGTTTTACCGCGACCCCATCCCCATACGTACCACAACGTAGAGAGGCGAGCGGTAAACCACTACCCCATCCATGCCACCCTGATTAGCCAAATCGTAGGTTTTTCATATTTTCACTATTTTTAGTGAAATGGGTAGGGTCTGGGCGAGAATGTGGTTTGTCGAACTGAAGCTAACAAGCACTGGGCCGGGAACGAGGATGAAGTAACCGTCCGGGTGAGTTGTGTACACTTGTTGTTAGTGACTGATGTTTCGACAACCTGGGCAGTATTCATCTTTAGAGCGACAGTGTATAGTATTTACATTTTATTTAGAGTTTTTCTGAATGCTATTCCTCGTCCATCCGGACGATGATACCATCCTGGCTCCAAATCCTTCGAATTCACTGTAAATCGATACTACGACTCCCAGTAGCTATAATGTCAGTTCTGGTATGTTCAACTACATTATGGGACCTCACCTTCATCTTGGGCGTAATGTTCTCCCATTACCGACCACTTGTCACCGTTCTAAAGTGTAAATTCTTTGTCTAACGGTTGCATATGAGGAGGCACATGAATATAGATACAACTTAAATAAACTCTTATACTCAAGAGAATGGCACTAGGTCTGATATGGGAAAACATTATATTCAAAGTGAAAAGCTCCATTGGAACGAGCTTAGTGTTGCTTAGTGGGGCATTTGAAAATGAAAGCCGTGCAACGGGAAACTGGAGAGTGCTTTCCATTTTTCAGGAAAAACCGGAAATTCCGGTTGGAAAACAAATGGTATACATCATTGCGATCGGAAAGTCAGTCTGGAAAACGCGGTCTTGCTCTTGAGGTAATCCGCTATTCATGTTCATTTGGTTTCTTTCGGTAGCCGCGTTTACCATTTTTCGAAGTGAGAGGTTACTCGGCCTCTAGAACTTAAATGATTAACCCCTTGCTATCATGACCAGCAAACTCAAAAATCTTGATGGTGACGCTAATGGCTTTAAACACATACTCACTCCTTTCCATGTGGGATGCTTTTAGAAAAACTAAACAGAACGTGTATCAGTAAATATGCCCTACTTCAAAGATTATCTGCTACGGAAACATTATTTCAGTATTTTTACTTTTTGACTCATTGAAAAAGTACCATACTTCCAGACATCGAGTGCTGAACCGTCGTATGGCAGTGCGAAGCATTTACGGCTACGCCGGAGATTTCGACCCCAACACCGCTATCCGGAGATTTACAGACTGATCAGGAAGCTCGGCCGAAGCCTAAGGGAGAGGTTAGTAGGCCCCTAGACCGTAGATGATTAACCCCTTGCTATGACCAGCAAACTCAAAAATCTTTATGGTGACGCTGATGGCTTTGAACGCATACTCATTCCTTTCCATGTAGGATGCGTTTAGTATGTAAAACTATTCAAAATGTGCATCATAGTAAATATGACCTTTTTCAAAGATTATCTGCTCTACTGTCTAGCGTAATATGTAAATGAAGAAGAGAGGAAAGAGTGGAACTAAATCTGCCATAGTTTAATGTAATCCCTACTAGTTTTCAAACCCTTAGATATGTTGGCACTCTCCCAGTTTTGATTAGACTACCTGTGTTTTTTGTACGTCAGCGTAGTGTGATCGCTCTTGAAAACTGAGCTCGGATCGATCTCGAATCTATCCAAACTAGATCGATCTAAAATGCACCTAGTGTGGACGAGCCCTAAAATACTGATAATGACTAATGGTTAATACTTGGGACTTCGTTGGTGTTGAATACAACAAGTGAGTAATGAGTGAGCATGGTTATAACACAAGAAATGGAAGTGAGTGTCGTTTGCCAAGTGTTAAATTAAACAAATTGGGGGAAACAAAGGACATCTTATCAAGCCATGAAAGAGTGGAACAATCTAAGTAATGATATCAAACGATGCTCTAAGATTTCTCAATTTAAATCCAATTTCTTTGAAGCTTTCCAAAACATGTAATCTTATGCGTTTATATCAATTTGTATTTGCGCATCATCTGAATTTTTTTCATAGCTCAATTTTTTACATGTTATTGGTTTAACAAGAACTTTTAGAAAAATCACTATAGTGAAGAAGCATCCTGTTTAAATATTATATAACATTATTGACACCGTTTCAGACGTTAGCCTTCGCCGGATTAAAAAGAAATAACGATAATCAGTGCAAGTGCAAGTGCAGGATTTTTTCTCACTTTGTTTTAGTGCGCATGTGTTGTTATTTTATTTTATGTTTGTTTTATGCTATTCCCTACTATTTTATTAACAGCTGTTTCGTTGGGAAAAAGAGAGAGTGGACGGATAACTGATAAAAAAGGACTGAATTTCGCATGACTAATAAAGGTGACTCAATTATGCTTTTTGCTATATCAATGATTATGAATCATTTGACTAAAATGACCATAACCCATTAACCCTGTAATTTTATGACCAGCTGTTTTTTTTCATTAAGGTATGCGCAAAAACCAGATAACTGCCGGATCAGTTGATCAGTTGCATGACCATTTGAATGAGCAACAAAGCCACAATAGACGGTACAATGGCAGATCCTGCCTGGGTGGTTGACGGGATGGTTGGCTGAATGACTTTGGCAGTGTACATGTTGTAGCCTTCATTAGTATGCCCTCTTCCCCCTTGCTGTTTATTTAATTGCTGGTTGTAAGTATTGTCATCAGTAGCGTCTTCTCTGCCGATTGCCTAAGCCAGGAATATTGAGTTGTTCATCTATTGAATCATACAGGAAGCAGAAATCCATGGTTAAATCAAAGAAGTCAATCCGCAGGGGCAGATTCAGGGGTGGTAAAACATTTGTAATAGTCACCCCCCTTCCTGGATTCGCCCTTGCAATGGGGGCTCTAATTATCTATGGGCCCGCCATGATTGGCACGCGATGCTAACTTTAAAAAGTTATATAATACGAAGCTGTAACGTATTTTTGAGTCTATTAATAAAACAGAGATTAAGTGATCTTAACGTCCAATAGTCCTGCTCAGCTTTAAATTTGCAATCGATGGATATTACTGTTCGTGCTAAACCACAGACTCATTTGAATTGCTACAATATACAGGTATCAAGTTAAAAGTTAAAAGGAGACTCTGCTCGCAGGGTAGTATCAAGTAAGTCATTTACAGTGAAGACACTCGAACCATGAACACTTGACTTTATTCAGATTTATATTTTCTGAGCTTTTTACTGCTTCAAACCCTCTAAAAGAGTAGGACTGAACTCAAATATGCTATGTGATCCAAAGATAACTTATTTCTAAATGATTCACTCAAGGGATGCATGTTAAAAAAAGTAGTAAAAAAGCACAGTGTTAATGGTTAGAGTGTCCTCACTGCAAAATTACATTACGTCTTTTGACTTTTGCGGACCAGTCTCTCAGCGAGCTGGTCCTTCATAAATCGGAGTCTGCAGTTAACGAGGACAGCGGTAATTATACGGAATGAGAAATAGAGCTATTAGGAAAGGAGAGTGCCCAACTTTGGGTAATAATCTTAACGCGTTTAGTCTCGTTTAGACATTAAAAAACACACAAACAACAACAATACTTTAAAAAGTTCTAGTCAGGTCCGCCATCTTGGAAAATCAAATATAAAATTTGAAAATACTGGGTTTAATTTGACTCATTTATTTCCTGTCTCTAGTGGAATATTCATCTGCTGAATCGCAGGATTTCAATAGATTTCTTTCTGGTTGACAGCACATTGTGGTCAGTATTTGACCTGATCCATTTGAAGCAGATATTGAAATTCAAAGACTTTTATCAGCGGACTGAAACCCAGCAATCTGATATTGTAATAAAAATCAGATATAGATCTTATTAGACATTTTAG